AAAAGAAAACAATAACAAACTGTATTTTGAGTCTCTCGCATAGGATAGACGATAGATCAAGACTTTATCTAAATATCTAGATCAAAATTCAAAGATTGGTATATGATATCTAGACTATATGAATTTCTAAATCTAGAGACGAAGAGATGAGTACTTAGATCTATACTCTAAAACATATTCAAATTATCATTATGGCAACTGTGTCTGAATTCAGGGAATATTTTGTACGGTCATGGAATGCAATGTATTACGTTACATCTCTTCAAAAGTGGAGTAATGGGCAGCTTTGCTTATCACCCAATTTAATACACTTTAAATCCAATGATTTAGAGATTTCAAGTACTGGAGAAAACCCCATTGAATTATATTTAAACGTATCACAAATTTCAAACATTTGTAAAGTAATGTCTTCTTTTGTATTTCCAGCTATAAAAATTACACAAATAAATGGAGAATGGCATTGGTTCTCATCTTTCGAAAATAGAAATGAAGTGTTTTTATTAATAAATCACTTCTTTCAAAAGAGAGCTTGTCAAAATGTACTGTCTTCATCTTCCTCTCTTTCCTCCTCAACATTACTTCCTTATCATCAAAGAACAAAAATGGGTATAGAGCTGCTTCAAAGTGTTTATGATTCGAAAGCAACTCTGCAAAAGGGAGCAGTTAGTCTTGTAGAGCAAGGACATCTACTGAGAAATGCTGCTGTTAAAATGGAAGAAATCCATGAAGACCTAACTGTTGCTGAACGAATTACAAAAGGTATAAATTCTTGGCTAGGTAGGTGGAAATTGCCACCCACAGTCAAAGCAGATGAACTGATTCTTGTGAGAGACAATGACATTCCAGATGTTTGGGATATTGAAGCATTGTGCTCAAAGATAATTGGCTGTAGGCATGAAAATCAGAATATTAATGTATTCAGGATATCGGGAGATGGTCTATCAATTATTGATATGAAACAAAAGGTTAGTTGTTTTTTTTTATTTCTCAAAATCTATTTTATTTTTAAACTTTTTTTTTCTTATGGAGGATTGAAGATTCATTATATTTTTTTCTTCTATCATTTTGTCCAATATGAAGTAGTGAGCTGGCCTGTCTCTTATTAAACAATTTGAATAGATTCTGCCTTGCTAAATCAGAGTCTTGATTGCATGGATGGCCACACAACCAACATCACATAAGTCTAGGTTCATTAAAGGAATGATTTAAAGTCTCTTTTTTTTAAAATTTATTTTGTTTAACAAGTTTTGGACATTCCTTCAGAAATAGCTCAAACCTCCTGCAGGATGGTAGGGGATGACGACCAGCAAGGCCATCATTGACTAAGCAGTTAATAATTTTTTTTTTGTACAAAAAAAATCAAAATTATTTAGCAATAGTCATTTGTTTCAATCTTTTAAAGTCATCTTTGAATCTCAAAATTTGAGATCCACAAGTATGAAATGCTCTATATTGTTGAAATTCATACATTGAATTTATATAGTTGATCAACTAAATGTAGATATATTTTATAATAAGCATTATCAAGCTATAGCAATTGCAAGACCCATTTACAAAATTCAAAATACAAAGCATACTTAACATAGCCATTTTGAAAAAAAAAGTGTACACACTTTTTACCTGACAGGCAGACAAACAGAGTTGACATAAGCTTTGTAAAAAGTAAAGTAGGGGGTTAGTGATTTTAGAGTAAACACCATACACCATAATTTAGCAATATACAAAAACTGAATTATATAAAATACTCAGACACAATAGATAATGGTAGATAACTTATTCCTTCTATGTTAGAGCAAACTACATATACATCGATCCTCGTGGCACTACAGCCAATGTAGGGTCCTGGCCTGCTATAGCACATCTTTCCATTCTGATCTATCCTGGGCTTTACGTCTCTGTGCCTGGACTCTTAGCTGTTGTAGATCTGCCTCTACATCATATTACAGTACTTGTGGTCTGCCTTTGGGGCGCCTGCCTTTTGGTTTTTGCTGGTGAACAATTTTTGCTCCTCTGTTCTCTGGCATTCTTTTGAGGTGACCTGCCCAACATAATCTGTTCCTTTTTATTTCCGTTACTATGGAGAGGTCTTCATATACATACTTCTTGGTTGGTGCGAGTCCTCCATCCAATTTCCTCATGTATGGCATTAATAATAATGGCAATGTCTTGGATTCCAAAGATTAAGGTTGAGTGCAGTGTTTCACATGATTACGCAAACCAATTTGCGACCTAGGGGTTTCTGTGACTAAATCCCACCATTTTTCCCATCAGTAGCTATTCTTAGCAGGATATCAAGAGAGAGGCTGGTCCTTTCTTTTAGGGTGTCCAGCCAGCTTTCTTTGGACAAACCTTTGGATGACTTTTAACAGTGAGTCATGTCTTATAATATGACCTAACCAGTTTAGCTTTCTTCTCTTCAAAGTATTGAGAAGATCCTCCTTTTTGCTAGCCAGAGTGTTGACTTGTAAAAGTACTAAATCATTTGTCTGCTTTTTCTGGTATCTAATATCCAGCATTTTTTTGTTGCATTTACTCTCAAAGGCTTGAATTCTTTTTTCAGCCTTAGCGTTCATTGTCCAACTTTCACTACCATATATAGGAGTACAGAGACACTAGCAAAGAATACAGTTTTAATTTTATTTGGAAGCTGATGTTACTCTGCTGATTTTCCACAGTTTGCTCATGACAACAGATGCCAAACTTAAACAAATTTTTCTCTTTTAATAATATGTATCTTCTTTTCCTAGTGCCATTAGAGAATAGAATGGGTTGTTTGAAAATCAATGCTAAAGAGTTTAAAGTACAACTAAGTTAACATATGGATGCACTTGAATGAAAAAGACATTAATATTACATGGACTGTAAATCTTATAGAGCAGGGGCATCAACTGGGGAATGATGCAGTGAAAATGTAAGAGATCGTCCTTAAAACCTGATCAAAATATATGAGAATGTTCAATACAGAAATATTCTAAGAAAGTATTTTAGAAAAAAGCTTAGAATGAAAAAGCAATATATTTAAATTTTAAAAAATATATCTTTCTACAGCTTCTTCATCACTTTAAATTGTCAGACATCTCATGCATTAAAGTTGTGAGTCCATGGGAAATTTTTGTAACTCAGTCCTTTATTGGTCAACCTGATCTGAGTTTCAATGTGATTAGCTCATCACTTCCCTCATTGCTACCTAATCTTGAACAATATTTCAAAAGGAAAATTGAATACATGAATCCCCCAGATTCTCACCAAACTCGCCACTTTGAACCACATTGGGATAAGCCTGTTGTCAAGTCATTAAAGTCTAAGTGTGAGTTGTTGTTTTTTTCTACTTCTAAATGCTTTTTAAGAAATACTTTTGTTGCTAACTTTTAAATTATATTCCAATCTTAATAATTATGACCCAGAACTCAAAGGTATGAATTAAAATTTTTAATAAAAAAAAAAAATTAGAATTTGATTTCAGCCGAGTTTTATTTTTTATTACCTGAGCTGCATCATTGAAATATTTCACATATATATTCTTTTCCTTTATGATTTCCAGGAATGCACTTGAAGGGTAGCATATTGAGTAAAATAAGAATATGATTATAATGAAATGAAAAGTATCGAATAAATCATCATGGTAATCATACATACTTATAATTTAATTTATATATGTTGGCTTTTCTTTTATAAAATTTAAATGTGATTATCATTACAGCCACACCCAAGTCATTATCTGATAATGTGAATGATCGTGAACAGCTTGTGGTTTCAACTGAGAAGCAGAAAAGTATCATCTCTGATGCTGAAATCTCTGAGTTGACATCCACTCTAGCCAATCTGAAATCTCTTGCTCTGGACATTCAGGTGGAGCAAACAGAGCAGCTAACTGTAATTGATAACCTGACTCAGTCTGTCACTAAAGCTAACGACAGGATACAATCAGTCAACAAAGTCATCAATAAAAATAATAAATAATTTCAATATCATACAATTCTTTTGTGAATAATAAAATCACAATGACTTTCTTTATTATTGTGAATTATTAAATGGGAACTGTGCATATTTCTTAATAAGTCATAATATGAGGTAATTACTGTAATCCTGCATTTCCTAATGGATTTTGTTTTTACTGTAACTTACAATTTTTGAAATGTGCTTATCAAGTGCTTAATAATATTTGCATGTATTTAAACTGCATTAAGTGGATTAAAAAAGAAATAACAATGTCATTAAGGTGGATTTTCATGCTTTGATTACTATTCTGTGATATATTTTCCTGTATGTCGTACATAGATTTGTAACAGTTCTTGTTACAGTTCATTAAATTTTGCATTATCCAAAACTATTCAATGGATGTGCTTGACTTATACTTGTTTTGAAGTACCAGTACTTTTTATACTGACATTTGCTCATAATATGTGGTTCTGTATCATTTTATGTAGTCATATGTAATGAAATTTAGTGTTCCAATGATTGTTTTATAAATGCTACTTTCTTGGTTTTACATTTTTTTCCTGCTGAGCTGTAGGCTCTTCAGTCTTCCATAGAAAATAGTACACTACATTTCTCTGGGAATTGCCTGAAACGCATTCTGATGGCAAAATACTCACATGCTCCACTAGGGGTCAAAAGGATTAGGTCAGTCAAATTTCTCAGGGGCTTTCCATAATGGTTTAATAATGTGAAATGGGTCAGCAGTGAAGGGGAAAGTGTAGATTTATGATCTTTGAAGTCTTTCAAAAGAAAATTTTTTTTGTTATGTGATTTGATATTGAAATAAAACCTGCTGTATGAGTTTGTCCCAGTTCTTGATGAAAAGCATAGCATGTAATGATAAGTAGACATGTAACATGTAATGATAAGTAGACTCATTCAAGAAGTAATCAAATGTATTATTTATAATAGTTTTCAATTACCCTAAGATTATATAGTCAATTCATGCAGAATGCACGCTGGAATGCCCTATAACACGTTTGTATAGATTTCAATGAAACAGAAAACAGAACAGACATTGATTGTTTTGTTTTTGGAGGATTTGTTTTATTCTTATAAATTGAAGTATATAAGAAAATTACGTTCCAAAATATTTTAACTGTCACCAATATCTCCAAATAAAGTGTAGACATATTCATTTAGTATGCACCATACATTGTTATTTTTATCTCAACTAAACAAACATCTCTAATTGAAAACAAAAATTAGACTTACTAGACAAGTCTTTTTTTTTTTTTTTTTTTAAGATATCAGTGATAGTTACACTTTATCTTACAGTGTTACACTTGATCTTTCAGTACAATTGTCTTTTTCTTTAACTATAAAATCCTCTGGTTTCTTGACAAGTAGTCAAATCAATTCAAATGGCAACATTTAACATAATACGTGGATATTTTTATATTCTTATTTAGTTGAATGTACAAAACTTTGGATATATTTTTTAGGCAGACGTTGATGTACTTTGACTTTTAGTCATCCTTCTCAAGTGTGAACTTGGGCGACCTCTTGTGGACTCTTTTGGTAAAATACCGAGTCCGCTCGTGATAAGCTCGTCACGTTTTTGGTTTATCGTGGTTTGGCTTAACTGGGATTGAGTCAACATTTTTTGTGGCTGAGGCGCGTCTGGACCACCAGCAGCGGAATAGTATGACCTGGCAGTATCCGGAGAAATGCCTGTGATTGGAAGATGTTTGAAGAACTCGTTGGCGACCCTGACCTCTGTCAGCCGGTTGTCTTCTGCCGGCAGACTAGCGTATCTCCACATGGTCCTCATATTGTGCAGTCTTTCTAACAGAGACAGCGTGCTTAGGTCGTTGACTCCTGGGCCCCATCCCGACGTAGCGGGGTTGAAAGGGCCGCCGGTGTTAACTGTCGGGATCTCTCCTCTTGCTAGCGCTTCATTTGACCACGACTCTAGGAGCCCGCCAATCCTCCAAGACCTCGGGATTCCGTTGTAATTGGAACTAAGTATACTGTCCAGAGCATTAGATGGCACGAGATAGCGATCAGCGAAAATGGTCAGCGGGATTCGGACGTCGCCAATGGCGCTTCCGTAGCCGTGATGGCTAACGTCGGGTAAGCTGGCAGTTAGACGGTTACGTAAAGCGTCCAGTTTGCTCTTGAATGTTTCCGTTGGATCCATGAAATTAGTTGACGCCATCGGAACTTGACGTAGACCTAGAGTTCCTATTTCATTGAAGCGGTCTAGGTGTTTGGGTTCTAAAGAAAAAAAAAAAAAAAGACGGGGTAAATTGTTTTACAAAAAGGCGATACTTAGCATTAAATTTTGTTCAAATAAAACCGAGCAATAGTTTTGAGCAGTGCTATAACATGTGATTATGCATGGCTAAGACGGTGTAAGATTAAGATTGTCAGTAATCCACCCAAAGCTTCACTTAGAAATACTTCCTTTTGCGTAAATTATTTCAGTAACAAACCATCTCGCTGCGTATTCCCTCCCCCCCCCCCTTTTTTTTTCTTTTTTTCCCTTCCTTTAGTCTCATACATTTTCTTAACGCTATTATAAGCCTAGTTGTACATATGAAATGAATTTTTTTTTAAAAGTTATGTGCGAAGCTTAATACAACATATAACAGCAACAAACGTTATAATGGAAAGTCAGTTTTTTTTTTTTTAAATATACAGATTTAATATTTCTGTAATATAGGCATGCCTCCCCCCCCCCCCCCCCCATCTTGATATAGTTATAAAAAAAAGACAATATCTCTCCGTCTTTCGTTCTTTACGTCTGTTTTAAGGGCCCATTTAACATGGGCACTAGGCCAAAACCTGTCATAACAAGCCCTTGGCATCATTTGTCTTCCGATTTCTCGTGTTTCACTATGTCTTAACCTAAGCATTTAACGCGAGGGGCGGTACAGGGGACATCACTCTCTTTGCCATCTCGTTTATTATACTGCACTTTTCTACGTCACCGTGCCGTCTGCTGGTGAGAATCTTCTACATAAAAAGATTGAAAGTTTGATTCACAGACATAATATATATATATATATATTTTGCGATGAGACAAATCTTACAATGACTGTAATAATTGTAAAAAAAAGATCGTCTTCTGTTTACACACGTTCTTTGCACGACCTGAACGAATAGAGTGGCTGAGAGAAAGTAAGAAATAAATTATTAACCTAATTATAACTGAAGCCTTCGGGTGCAGACATGATTTATTACAAACTTACTTGTCGATCTGTCAACATAAGTAGATAAGTGTCACTCTACCTTATTACCCCGAAATTACAGAAAATTATGGAACATACCAATTTAAAGAAAAAATTGCAGTGCAACTTTTAAATAACATATTCGATAACGTGTTGTTGAGCATTATTTTGTGTATATATTTTGAGTAAAATATTTTATGTTTTAATCGTGCATTCTGAATGGACCTCATTCACTAATCGTAAACTAACAACATTTAGCCACATGATTCTCTATATCTTCTATACAAATTATGTAATCCATAAAGGGTCTCACGTGATAGGTATTTTTCATTGTTTTATCAATATTATGACGTGGCTAAATGTGTTTATTTACGATTGGTGAATGAGGTCAATTAGTCCATCATTTGTACAATTGCTGATTATATTTTCGACACATTGCTTTGCTACTTTAAATATTTGTTTATTATATATCAGATTACCATCAAAGTGGAGGGACACGCAAAAATCATCAATCTGGTTAGGGCCTACTAGTAGGCTACATAAGTCAATGGATGTTCCGCGCTTTGGTAGCTACGTGTCAGCAGTATATTGCCAATGTCCTTTTTTCGTGTCAGTATCATATCCAGCTGGTGCCAGTGCCCAGACCAAGGGTGCCTCCATGAGACACAGTACTGTGGTTTTGTTCTGAAGTATGTGTTGGTAATGCAGAGCTTATGGTATGTGCAGATTCAAGCAGTCTTTGTCCGTTCTCATTCATCTTTCCGATTCCAAAAAGCCCAGGGCAGTCTGGCAAGGTAGTGTGATCTGATCCTACTCTGGCATTGAAGTCACCTAGAAGGATCATATGTTCTTTTTGAGGAATGTTTGCATTGGCTTCTTTGAGGTCTTCATAGAACTTGTCTTTGTCCTCCTGAAGCGAGCATAGTGTGGGGGCATAGGCACTAATTAGAGTGAATTTTCCAGATGCTGTCATCATACTTATGCTTAGTAGCCGTTCCGAGCCACCAACTGGAGGGACTATCATGGGAAGAAGACTGTTCTTGGATGAGTTTACACTTGGCGAGACTTTAAAAAAAAAGCCTGTAACGAGAATGGTGGTCAACACAACACCAAAGGGACTAGACATGGATATAACTTTGGAGATTGTAATTATGTCTTAAGATGATGTAACTTAAATATCTGAATGGTTGGCAAAAAAGGAAATCATAAATTGGTGTATTTCAACATTTCTAGTACTAGTATATGACATTAAGCATTGACTCACCAAGACATATACACAACTGAGAGTAATACACCATATGGTCTGGACAAGTTAGGCCTACGGGCGGTTGCTGCAAGGGTACACCAAAACACATCCCTGAAAAATAAATAATTTATGTTCTTAAACAAATATTTGACATCTTCTTTTCTTTTTCTTCTTCGTTCTCATTTTATATGTTTGAGGGTTCAGATCCGTAATCCTATATCTGAGATGAACCGCGCAGTGGTTTGCACAGATCCGTATAGTTTTTCTTCTATTGGAGGGCTTTGAGTGACTTGGTCAGCAGTCTCTGGTGATGCTCCACAAGGGCAAGTTTCACTAGTCTCGACTTTTAGCTACCGGAATATATGTTGTCTCATTCTGTTGTATGTGGTTCGGAGTAGAAAAAATATGGTTTGGTCATGTCGATATAGCTTATAATAGACGTCCTTTTTCTTGTAGGCCTAATTGGGATGTGAGCTGGTCCAATTCTCTTTTATTCTACACAATATCATTTCATCATTTCTTTTGGGTAGAGAGGGATTTTGATTTGTTTGTTCGTTCTTCCATCTTTGTCTAGTATATCTGCTTTTTCATTGCCTTCTAATTTAATGTGTCCTGGACTTCATTGAAGATCGGTTTTCTAGCTGTTTATGTTTAGGTTTACAAGAGCTGTCCTGAGTTGATTTATATAGGAAGCAAAATCTTTTGACAACATTATTTTACATACATTATTAGCATTTGAACATAGTAAAAACCTCCTTTTCTTATAGTAAATAGTACACCCTAACTTGTCATTGACTGGAACAGAAACAAAAGCTATTTAGCTAGGTTTGAAATGTATTGTAAGTCATGCATAGTTCTTAAACACCTCGGTGTCAATATGTACTTCATACAATGTATAATACATGACAGTACTTGTACTCTCCTCTCTCTCACACACATGAGCATTTGTACTGCCTGGTCGTGCGGTTTGCGCGCTGGACTGTCGTTTGGATTTATCGATGGTCCCGGGTTCAAACCCTGCCCGCTCTCATTCCCCGACGTCCTGTGGGAGGTTTGGACTAGGAAGTAAACTATCTTCAACTCTGAAGGAACATCCGAAACATGTGAAACATTTTACAAACAAACGAACATTTTACCACCTTTCCTCTTTTCTTTCTGTATATTATCTCCTTCATGTAATTAATACGTGTCTCTCTTTTTCCTATTAATACGAATTAGGCTACATTGTCTACTCGATGTTTACTAAACACAGCATTGGATTCTAGTTCTCTTATCAAGCTATTTACAATGTACATAGATTAAATCTTTTGCTTTTGATAGTCAATGGCTGTACTTGGTGTGTGTGTGTGTGTGCACTTATCTTTCTCTTACAAATTCTAACACGGATACAGATACACACGCACCCTACTTTAAGACAATGTTTCCTCCCTTCTACGTACGAATTTTGGGTTTAGCTACAAATAAAGAAAGTTAAGTTACAGATGGTTATGCGGCCTGTAATAATGATAGCGCCGCCATGACACTGTCTTTACTACGCACAGAATTACTACACGAACCTTGCGTGTAGCGAATTCATAAGAATTCTGTTTCCTACATAGATCACGCTCGATAGTAAGAATTATTAAATGTTTCAATCTCTCTACGAGAATTGTTGAGCTCAAGTAATTCTTCATTAGTTTGAGGCGCGAGAGGCTTCTTTCACTAGATTCCACAATTATGGGTTTTGCATAATGCCGTTTTTTTTATCGCGCGTAGGATTGGACTTTTCCATATTGATTGACACCCCAAAGTGACTATATTTTCTATATATTTCAGGAGATATGTATGAGTTTTCTAAAGATTTTAATAATTTCCGGATATTTCCAGGACTTTTTCGTATATTTTGCAATTTCAGGAGATTTCCAGGAACTCCTGGTAAATCGACCAAAATTGACCTAATAAAACCATAGGAAGAACAAACTCGTGCGTCACACATACACAAATAACAACATCAACAATGGACTGGTATAAC